TTGAGGGTTTAGGGCTTAAGGGTTTGCGGTTTGGAGCTTTGGGTTTGGGATTTTGGGTTGTAGCATCAACCCGGAAGTGGCAGGGCTTAACCCACAATTAGAAGTCCACTGGCCATGCAACGGATGTAAAGGTTCGCTTCTGCGGTCGTGCATCATGAAGCGCTTCAGTCTGCTGGCATTTGATATGCTAATCCCACCCCGCAGGTGAGCGACCCTGAGCAAAAATAGGTAAGTGTTTAAGTTTAAGGCTTATCAGGTTGCACTTGGATTAGGGGATCCATACCTAAACCCTGAAGCCGAAGCCCGTTGTCGAGTCGACTTCCGGCTTTGGGATTTAGGCAAGCACCTGGATCATGCCTCATTCCGGAAGCACCACAAGCTCCAAAGCCCCTAAGCCCTGAACACCCTCATACCGGGCTCTTCTTCAGAGACTTCAAGGTACCAAAATGGGGATCCATAGTAAATCATGTGGCTTCCCCTTTTTTATGGTAACTTAAACTAAACTCTTCCACCGAACCCCTGAATAAAAGCTGGGTCGAGCAGGCCTCTGCCTCGCAGCTGCGTGACTCCACCCCGAAGATCAGCCCAGCAAGGCAGGTACGGTGCAGTTCTCTAAGTTGGGGGGGGGGGGGGGGGGGGNNGGTCCCTGTTTAGGTACTTAAAAGAGTACGGCACCCCCTTTTCTAAAAAGGATGCTGAAGGGGATCCTTATGTTAAGAACTACCCTAATACTGGCTTTGTGTTTAGGGCTTATAGTGCTTGTATAGTCGAGCCTATGGGGTTCATAGGACTTTGGCTTTAGGGCTCAGGAGAATGGGTTTGGGGGTTGTGGGTTTCGGGTTTGAGTGTTCGGAGCCTGTACTCATAGTCTGGCTAGACTTGAGTCCAGTAGGAAGAAGAAGTTTTGGGAGACTCAGGATGCCAGCTTTGGAAGAGACAGGCGAATCCAGGAATAGACTCTGCATGTGTGGAGTGAGGGAAGCGAAGGGTCAACGCAAGGACCAACAGCAACGCAGACGAAGCCCACTTAATCCCTGGTTTTGTTGTTGTGACCCTGCCTAGCAGATTCAGGCATCAACTAAATCCAAAACAATACCCTTGAACTCTGACCAGATCAGAGCGGATTCTCGGCACACTCGGCTGTTTTTTTGCTTAGCAGGCTTTTTACTCTAAGGGGGTTTTCGGTGTGTTGGAGATTGGTAATAAAGGGGCCTTAATAATTAGAGTAGGGCTTCGGGGCCCATTAAACCCTAAACCCTAAACCTTAAGATAATACTATAATCATAATAAGGAACCCAACAGGAGTATAGGTAGTTATTAAGGCCCCTACATTCTTCGACTCTCAGACAGTGTGACCATTCGCCTCGCGCGGACTGTCCGAGTTGTGAGCGAACAACATAGGGGCGTGCATAATTACCTATACTAGTTTTTCTTATTTTTTGGTGTGGTTCCTTATCCTTATTAGGATAAGAATTATGATTGTTAGTATTCGTATGGTTATTATTATTATTGATATTATAGTATCATCGGCCCCATACCCCCAAACCATTACGACAGGTCAGGGGCCTCAGCCGAGAAGTTGGAAAGTCGTCTGGACTCCCTGGAAGAGACGCTTTGCTGCACGGTACCTATGGGGCTTCGGGGGATTTGGGGCTTAGGTAGGCTTTAGGGTTATGGGCCCTAAACCCTAAACGATTATCGGGCTTGATAATTTAATATGAGGCTTTGATGGGGGATGTTGAGGTTCAGAGTTTACCTGCAGCCGTAAGCCGTGCAAAGTAGTATGATCTGACCCCTTCAAAAATTCTATTATTAGGTTTCAGGTTATGACCCCTTAGTTGAAAATATATAGCTTAGGGTTGAGGTTGAAGAGGGGGTTTCACTAGGTCGTGATGAGGGTGTGATAATGGAGGGCTTTTACGACAATAATTTGGTGAGGGCTGTTTTTGGTATGTGTTTTTAAGTTTTATGGGAGATTGGTACTAGAAACCTATATCATGGCAGCCCCAAGCCTCAAGCCTAAGTGCGAAGCAGTGAGTCGTCAGCCATTATTTGCAGCCTCAGCTCAGCTTGATTGTGATGAACTTTGTAGGGGTTGAATCTGGTTCCTCGCCGAACGGGGCTTACTGAGGCTTACTGCTACGAGGGATTCAAGGTCGAGGGACTGCGGCAATGCACAATTAGCATGTGGCCCTCTCTGCTACGGCAGACATAAAGCAAAAAAGGACACCCAATATGGACCCCGTTCCACCGCAATTCCTTTCGCGGCTTCTGGTCTTCTTGCAGAGCTAACCACTGCAACGGTTCGGAGGGCTTCGCTTTGTGCTGCTGGATCAGGGAAAGATCCGAACCTGGGCTCCCTCGGAAACTCCTAAGCTGCGACCCCTGAACCCATAACGTTCCTTGCTGAACGATGCAGCCCCCTTTGAGGAGGCTACAGGACAAGTCCGACAGGCTGCTTCGGCTGTGATGCAGTCGAGGTTTAGGCTTGTGTTGGTGGTTGTTGGTGTCAGCCCATACAGGGTTCCCATAGCATCGTATACGAGCGGCATGCAGTAGGTCGTAGGGATTCATTGGTGGCTTTTTCGGACTGCGGAGGGTTTCGCAGCACGTTTTGGGCTTGCTCCACACTTACACATACACAACTGGTGGTGATAGAAAGGGGCACTGGGGCACGGTGCGTAGTGCCTGTATAGCAGAGGCAAACGAACAATTTGCCGTAGCTGGGCTGCCGTGACTTGCCCTTAGCCAGAAAAAAACCTTGAACCCTAAACTTTATGTGTCTTCGGGTCTTGACTGCAAATGCCGAAACCAGCGAAGGCCCCCAGGCCTGGTTTAAACCCCAAGCACCCAAGGAGGGTACTCCTTCAGTTACAAGAAAAGGAACAGAAGCCGCTTGAGACCCCGGTTTTCTGACGGGACATGCGGAAGTTCCTGCAATTTCCTTGTCACCTAGGATATTGCTGTGTTGCTGACAAGAGCACAAAGAAACCAGCCACGATCGGAATACTCTGAAGGTCTCTAAACCACGTAAGATTTCAGGCGCTCTAACCCTAACCCAACACTGAAACCCGCAATTCTAACCCCAAGCCCAAAACCCCGTGCAAACCTACCATACCTACCCCAGGACTTGCCTGAAACCTTGAAGCAGATTCTGAGTCAGAGAATGAGATCCTTGAGCTCTCAGACGCATGAGTACATAGTGTCATCAGGCGTGCGCATCTTTCT